GGGGGGGGGGGGGGGGGGGGAGGAGATACATTTAGAAAGATCAGTTATCTCAGATGCTTCACATGGTTTTATTTAATTAGTTTTGCCACTTGGTAGAATTAATGATGTTAAAAAATGGCACTTGATTTTTGTGATCAACCAGTTACTAGTTTTAAAGAGTTGTTATAAGGGAATTATTTCAGTATTATTTATTTCACAAACATATATTTCATTCTTTAGTGTATATTATTATGAAAAAAAAATGGGAATTCATTCATTTTTGAAAAGCCTAGTATTGGAGACTAAGATTAATTTTTTCCTTACAGAATTATCAGCTAAAAATAAATTTTTACAATACGTCGTTTTTGTATTTCAAGAGATGTGATTTTATCGGAATACATCCAAATTCATGTTTCTTAAAAATCTGTAATACACCACCATTCATAATTAGTTCTTTCTGTTTTCCTTCCTCTTTTTTTCTCCTGGCCTATTGTAAGGCAGAACTGACAGCCAGAGGTTGTAAGGTTGTATCAGGAGCCACAGAAAGGTCCCACTGCCTGAGCATCTTCCAGCCAGTTTTATCTTTCACTTTGAATAGATGAGTGGGCATTGCTACCCTCTTAGCATGTTTAGGTGAAGTTAAGTGAACAAATTTTGCTGTATAGATCTTGTTCATTTGTTTCGCAAAGCCAACATAAATTTAAGCTCATTATTTTGTGGAATTGTGCACCAAAGCTAAAAAAATACATTTGTAGCAACAGATTTTTTTTTTTTTTTTGGAAGCTGGTGGGTATGGGGAACCAAACCCTTTCCCTTGGTGAGCTAACTGGCTAGCCCCCCACCAACATATATTTTAATCCCAATACTAGAGAAATAAAATTAAAGTAGTAGAACTAAACTACTTTTAAAAGCTTTAAATTATATTGGTTTAATCTCGATAATACATACAAGTTAGGTTAGTTTTGGGGGGCATGGGAAAAACAGTGATTTCCTACTGTTTTAATCCTCTCTCAAGACAGAATTTAATTATCTTCAGATAGATTGTAGTCTAAGAATGTGATTTCTAGAACTGATTTTACCAAATGAAGCTATGTTAATACCAGAAGAGTAGAATCATGGGATAATTACTAAAGTTAGAATTTTAAGTTGTTGGAGACATTAGAGCACATTACACTGCATATAGAATATGATCAATAAATTATTAGTGAAGTAATAAATAATTGAATGTATCCATTTTACAGGTGTGCAAATACATGTCAAAGACCTTTAATGAAAAATTTTAAGGGGAAAGCTAGTTAGTAGCAGTGGCAATCCACACTCTAAAGAATTTGGGAAGGCTACGTAAGGACAATTGGATTTTATAATGTTAAGATCAATGGAATACTTATTATTTCACAAATTCTGTATGTAAGAACTGGTATCTGGGGTTAGCAAAGCGGGCTGCAGGACAGTCACTGGGGCATGGTAGAAGAAAGGTTCCCACATCTGCAAGTGTGTCTGCAGACCAGTGCACTGCCAAGTAGCTGCATGGGCATTTCCTGAATGATTCCCAGAAGATTATTAGTTCCACTTACAATTTCCTATCTCTGGTCCTGAACCTGTGCCTTCAAAATAAACCCAGAAAGGAGGTATCACTATGGGAAAAGCATTCATCCTTCAGCCAACACATGGGAGATAAACATTATTTTGTCAAGAAGGTGGAATAAATGGTCCACAGCATCACTCTCTGTCATAAATTAACCAATTTACAACTATAAAAATGTAACATCAGCCAAGCTGGGGCCGCTAGAGCTCAAGGGAAGAGGAGGAGAGACCTATGGAGTTCATGAAGGCGGGAGAAACCACAATGAGAGAGAAAAAACTGCTCGGGATCTTTTCAGGCAGCAGCTGCTTTAAGCCTCGAGCTGCTGAGTGCACGAAGCAGGAGCCAGCAGAAGCCACAGTTGTGCCCTTCAGATGGAATTACTTGGAGGTGGCCTTGGTGGCCCTCAGGACAGCAAGACCACTACATGGACCCATGCAGGAGTGAGGAGCCAGAACAGCTGCAAAAGGGGAGCCATTCAGAGGCCAGTGAGTCAATGCAAGGGACTGGTGCAGGGCCCATCCCATGGGAAGTGTTTGGAGTACGGGCGGTGGGGGAGACAGGACCACTGGGAGAACACTGGGACACAGCAAGGACAGCTGATCCACTCCCCAATCAGCACAGGACCACTCAGAGGAGACTGGTCAGTAATGCAGAATTGCATGGGGTGCAGTTTGATGAAAAAACTCAGGCCCAGGTGAGAGTTTCTACACAACCCAGATGCACCCGGTCTCTGGAGAGCCAGTAGTACCTATAAGGTCAACCATTAAACCCTAAGCTGCACAAAAAGCCTTCCCTAGGGAAACAGCAGCAAAGCAGCAATTTAGCTCAACAACACAGCTCACGTACTAGTTCCCACAGGAAGTTCCCCCATTTTAGAAGTAAGCAAAGGACAAAAAATTAGTTCTGGCCCAGGCATACCACCAGTGCCTTGGGGCCTGCCAGGGGGACATGAGGCATGGAGATGGGGACTGGACCCTTGCCCACAACCACTCACACCACCAGTGCCTCATAGCCCACCCAGGGGCCTGGGACATGCAGCCGGGGAACAGACCCCCTGCCCACAACCAGGGACACCATGCCAGCACCTCAGGGCCCGCCTGGGGTCCTGAGGCCGGAAGCCAGGGACCAGACACTCCCCACAACCAGCCACACTGCCAGCACAAAGGAGCATGACAAAAACATCACCTCCATTTGGGTGCTCACCACAGCCACCACTATAACTATGGCTGCCACAAAGGTGGCTAGATGCCACAACCACCACACAGATGGTCCACCAGCCACTGGAGTGCATTGACACAAGGAGAGTCACCAGCAGAGATAAAGAAAAGAAGAGGATGTCTCTCTCCACAAAGCCCATTTCAGAGTAACAGAAGAAGCATCTGCTCTATGATTGAGGGATCTAATATTGAGGTATCTGATCACACCTCTCAGCATTGGACAGATCATTTAGGCAACAAATCAACAGAGTAACCATTATTCTTTCAGAAGGAGAGAAGAAATCTAGGGTAATTAGAGGGGGGAAGGGGGAGGGAGAGGGGGAGGGTGACAGACTGGACCAGGGACATAAAAAATAATTACGATTTGTAACAATATTTATGCTAGTAATATTGATTTGATCAACATATCTCAATGTTGAACCCCCAAATTTGTATAATCTATTTTGATTCAATAAAAATTTTTTTTAAAAAAGGCAGACGTTTAGTACTATAAAACAGGATTAAAGGTGGTACTCTTTAGTGGTGTGTATGTTTCACGTGCATGTTTATGTATGAGTATGGGTATGCGTTTATAAATACGTATGTATATGTGTGTGCATATTACATATATAACACATATATATTTTTTAATTTTAGTGCTGAAAGGAGGACCCCTCGATGGCACTTACAGACTAATTCAGTTTCACTTTCACTGGGGTTCAGCTGACGGGCATGGTTCTGAGCATACTGTGGATAAAATGAAATATGCTGCAGAAGTAAGAGAAAATCTTTTTCTTTCCAGGAATAAAATACTTGTAAATTTATAGTTAGCTTTAATTTCAAAACCTTTATGTAATTTCATCTCACACCAAGTGAACCACTTTTACAAAGGACCTCCACATTTGCTTCTTGTGACCTTAATTGTGATATTACAATTAAGGCTGCAAAACTTTCCCTACTGTCTCTAACGACACCATTTGCAAAAAGTGAATGAATTCAACGTGGAGGATTCTGTTTCAGTATAAATCTAGAAATAAAATTTGTGCCTTCCCTTAAAACTATACATTTCTTTGTTTTAGAGTTATTGATGAAATCACTTGCTCTGCCAAATAGTGGATAATTAGAATTAAAATGGAAGAAAAGTTTTTATCCAAAATTACCCACATTTTCACTTTCTTTAGTAACCTTTAGCTATGAAGACAGTTCATTGGATAAAGCCTGTAGGCCTTTGTTATGTAAATCACTCACTGTTTGTGATTTTGCCTCCTCGATGGCTCTAGCTTCACCTGGTTCACTGGAACACCAAATATGGGGATTTTGGAAAAGCTGCGCAACAACCCGATGGACTGGCTGTTTTGGGTATTTTTTTGAAGGTGAGTTGATGGCCCAATTCTACTTTTCCTGTTTTCAGGAAAGACTGACCAGACAGAACATTCATAACAAACAGGACATTCTACAAAAAAGCCCAGGAAATGCCTTTGGTTCTGAAGTATTTTCACGCTCATTTTCTTCTCCATATCTGCGAGTAGCAGTGGAGCTGAAAAAAAAAAAAAAAGAGACAATTTGAGAGGTATTTATCAGATATTATTTAGACATAAACGTGACACACATAAAGAAGTAAGCTTTGGATGACTATGAGGTGTGTGTTTTATTTTAATTCAACCTTAAACTAGATGGTACTAATTCATGATAGACAATGCTACAGTAAGGTCAGGTTCTGGAGGGGTGAAGGACAGTAACCTGGCACTGGAGAATTTCAGGCAACGTGGGGAATGCGGGTTGAGCTGCCGTCTAGACAGTAGTGAAGGGGAGGAGAGAGAGGTCTGGGCTGGAGATTCATGAGCCCTGACATCATATGCTGAGGTGGAAGCTTCAGGTAGTGATGCAATCATCCGAGGACAGCACAAAAAAGGAGAGGCTAAAGCAGCCCTGGATGCAACCCTGAGAGACTGCAAAATATAAGGCCTTTAAGGCAGTGGGAAAGAGGCTCATTAAATGATTAAAAAGGAATGAAGAGTCAAGGGAGATTTGACACGTTGGAGGGCATAGGGAAAGCCAAGGGAGGAGAGCATTTAAAAAAGAAGGGAAGATAATAGTGTAAAATCCTGCAAGGAGGTAAAGTAAGGTGAATCTTGAGTATTCTTTGCTTCGGCAGTTGGAGGTCACTGGGGGCATTTGAGAGGGTAGTTTCAGGGGGACTATCAGGGCAGAAGCAGAGGCAGGTTGAAGATTTAGTGAAAGTAGGGATGTCTACGGTGCCAAGGTCATCGAGCTAAGACTGATGCACAGAGTGGTAAATTGTGGCTGACTATCCGGAGAAATTCTGCCTAAACCAAAACTGGTTACAATATCTATAACAACTGGGTTACAATATCTTGTCCCTTGTGTTTTTCTATAGATTGGCAATGCTAAACCAGGCCTTCAGAAAGTCCTTGACGTACTGGACTCCATTAAAACAAAGGTAAAGTGGAATTTTCTGCCACCTCGTTAGGGTAGCTATTTTTAATACTCCATTGATTTTAGAAATTTCTTTTGATCAAATTGAATAGTCTCATTGATGTGGCATTTGGATGAGCAGTTAATAAAGTTTAAATATTGCTTATATATATTTAATTAACTTTTCTTTCTCCAAAAGTTGATCTTATTGCTAGTATGATTCTAATGGTTGTATTTATTTAATCTTGCTTCCCATCACTTGCACATCCATACATAAGAGTCAGAATCTCATTACTGTGAGGAGGCTGAAAGATCATCTGGCCAAATTATTCCCTCATCCATGAAGCAAATATTTACTGAGTACTTACTAATGCCTGTCCCTTTGCTAACCCAGGAGATACCATGGTGAACAAGATAAACAAGGCCCTACTTCATGGAGATTTATATTCTGTGGTCTCTTTGAATTCATCCATCCTGGGTTTAAATCCTCTCTACAGCACAGCTGTGTTGTGGCCATTGAGCATCTGCTTAAACACTGTAGTCACTTCCAGTGTTGGGGAACTCATCACCAGAGGCATCCCTGGCTTTATAAAGCTCATCCATCCGCTAACTGAAGCAGCATCTATCTTCTGAAATGCTCACCTTTACTCCTAGCTTGAACCCCATATGGAATCATATGGAATGAGCCTGATCCCCTCACCACGTAATTGTACTCTCTCTCTAACAGCCTTTCACATACGCTAACTGAAGCAGCATCTATCTTCTGAAATGCTCACCTTTACTCCTAGCTTGAACCCCATATGGAATCATGTGGAATGAGCCTGATCCCCTCACCACGTAATTGTACTCTCTCTCTAACAGCCTTTCACATACTCTTTAGTTCCCTTTAACTATTCTAACTAGTTTTCTTGGTTTGCAATAACCTTGTCACTGTTTCAGTACATCATTCCTGTTTGCAACTATTGTTAACTGTTGACACTACAGTTTTAATGCAATCAGTTCAACTGACTGTAGTTCTTTAGTTCTGATCTAGCTATCAAATAGGATAGCAAAAATTTCATCCTCATCAAAAAGTCTACACTTCTGTCATTGCAGCCTAAAATTGCACCATTTTAGAGGTAGCAGTCTCACTCTAAAGATTAGGTATGATCAATTAATGACTTAATGGAAAATACAAGGGATTATTTTAGAGGACAAGATGAAAAATGGACCTGTGAAAATAATAATCAGTTTTTCTTGCTCACACCTGCCAATCTATATTTCCAAATCAAATGTCTTCTCTTAATTTCTTTTCATTTTGTTTGCCAGTGGTTATAGAACCACTAAAGTTTTCTGGGTGTCAGGGGAGATAGTCATGCATTGCTTAATGATGGGGATAAGTTCTGAAAAATGCATCTTCAGGCAACTTCGTCATTGTGTGAACATCACAGCGTGTACTTATACAAACCTAGATGGTGTGGACTACTGCATACTTAGGCTATATGAAATGTCATTAAGCAGCGTGTAACTATATACCTACTTATGTGTCCCACTCTCCTACCTTCCTCCACTCTGATGGTGTGACAGATTTAATGTGTGTATTTGTCTTGTTCCAGGGCAAGAGTGCTGACTTCACTAACTTCGATCCTCGTGGCCTTCTTCCTGAAAGCTTGCACTACTGGACCTACCCAGGCTCACTGACCACCCCTCCCCTTCTGGAATGTGTGACCTGGATAGTGCTCAAGGAACCCATCAGTGTCAGTAGCGAGCAGGTCAGTTTTCTAATGCAAGATCGTTTAGAGAGGCAGAGCTCTTAGTCTAGGCACATGAGCTTGGCCTTCAGAGTCAGACCTGGGATTTAATCCTCCTGCTGCTTCTAGCTGTGGAACTAGTGCCTACAAGAGTGCTTAGCAAATAAACAGCATTCAGTAAATATTTGTTATTAGCCATAACCTTAGGCAATTTGTTTAGCCTGTATTTGGATTACTCACTGGGAGGATTAAATGAGAAAGGTGTCTGGTGCCTAATTAATGCTTTTTTCTTGGTCGGCTATGAGGAAACTGAGGCTCAGAAAAATGAGATTTTATGTTCAAGTTTACATAGGTATAAGTGATAATTCCCAACCTACCACTCACTCACATAAGAACGTTCTGCTGTTTTATGTATATCAGAATGCATTTCTTAATCCCGGAAAAGATGAGAGTCGTCACTTGGAGAAAAAGTATCTACGAAAACTCTTTCCAGGTTGCTTTAGAGGCTTAGACCAGATATTCTTATATTTCTCATAGAATGTGGTCTGTTATGTTCAAGTGTTTAATACAGCTTCTAAGTCACTGATGAGTACCCACAAAAGTGGATAGGAATGAATTTTTCCTAGACTGTTTCTTAGTACATAGTTGAAGTTTAGAAAATTGATATTCCTTAGGATTCACAAGAGGTTGGATCCTGAATAATTTAAAGAGAGAGTCAGCAGCCAACAAGCTTGAAAATGATAACTATTTGAGTAGTTGTGGTATGATTTAAACCTACAAAAATTTGGAATCATAGATGTTCAGAGCCGCAACTTACAATAAGAGATCACATTGTCCAACTTCTCATTTCACTGGCTACAGATGAGGTGCAGGAAAATTGAAGTGCTTTCTGCCCAACTACCTCACGGCAGAATCAGGTCTGGGAGCGGGGATTCTATTCCTGTGTTTTCCTTTAGAATATTGACTTATGAGCACTAAAGATATTTCACACCTTTCTTTAAAGGAAATTTATATCTAACTGGAAATTTACTTGTAGTGTATTAAAGTGAACCCCCAAAATAGTATGCTTGACTGGCATGTGACTTGAAAGTTGACGTCTGTAGTCCTAACATATTTGAGCCAGCTTCTTGAAGTAGTAGCATAAGGAGAGATTATAATGCCACTTATCATTTGTAGATATAGTGTTTGAGTTGTAATATAAAATATGAAAACTTTTTTTCTTTCTTCACTGGCAACAATCCAGCTTAAGATCTATAGTCTGACATTTGGAGCTATTCTAACAAATGGGTTTATTGTGTACACACACACCCATACATATAGGTAAGGGCAATTGAAACTGCTCCATTAGTCCCTGGGCCCTGAATTTGCTCTTTTAGGTAGAAATCAAAATTAAACTTGGAATATTAATTGCACATATTGGCAAAATACCAATAGGACTGTTTTTCATATCCTATAGCACAGAGTCTGGAGGTGGGGTCATGCTGAGCTCAGGAAGCCAGGGCTCTGGTTCTTCCAATTTGTGATTCCCTTGACTTTGCCTTCCTTGCCCACTACTGGCCTCTTCATCCTCAAGGTGGTTGCAAAAGCAGTTTGGGCATCACATTCAGATACAGCCTCTCGAGGAGGAAAGGAACAGCTCTTCCATTGGATCCCTAGGTGAAGAGAAGCTTTTCTCGGAGAACCCCTTGCAAAGTTTTCACATCTCACTGGCTAAAACTGATTTTTGCTCACTTCCAGCCCAGCCCTAGCAAAAGAATGTGTCACCATGGTCAGTTTAGACTTACAGATTTACCTTCTTGAGGTTTAAAGGAGAAGGGCAGATGACTGTTAGTGAGAAAGTGTGGTGGGATGAGTGTTAGGTAATCAGTAAAAATAGGCCTGCTACATTCTGCTACTTTTATTTTCTGTACTGTTTTGTCCTTGTAATGCTAAAACAATGAGTTGACTCAAGTTGTGAGAATTTAATGTAATTGGTGGAATGGAGGGTAGAAATAAGTTGTACTGGTTCGATCAAAAGTTTGATCTGATTGCACTTTATTTATTGGAATTTACTGTTTATACATATTTGTGGGATACAGAGTTATATTTCAATATGTGTATACAATATGTGATGATCAAGTCAGAGTAATTAGCATATTCATCATTACAAAACTGAATCACTTTTTTGTGATGAGGACATTTGATCTCCTCTCTTGTAGCCATTTGATAAAATGCATTAAATTATTGTTAATTATAAAGTGTGGTGGGATGAGTGTTAGGTAATCAGTAAAAATAGGCCTGCTACATTCTGCTACTTTTATTTTCTGTACTCAGTTTTGTCCTTGTAATGCTAAAACAATGAGTTGACTCAAGTTGTGAGAATTTAATGTAATTGGTGGAATGGAGAGTAGAAATAAGTTGTACTGGTTCGATCAAAAGTTTGATCTGATTGCACTTTATTTATTGGACTTTACTGTTTATACATATTTGTGGGATACAGAGTTATATTTCAATATGTGTATACAATGTGTGATGGTCAAATCAGAGTAATTAGCATATTCATCATTACAAAACTTAATCATTTTTTTGTGATGAGGACATTTGATCTCCTCTCTTGTAGCCATTTGATAAAATGCATTAAATTATTGTTAATTATAGATGCCTAAGTCAACTGTATGCCATAAAACTTATTTTTCCTGTCTAGTTGTTTTGTGTCCATTAACCAACCTTTCATCATCCCTCTCCCCCTTCCCCTTTCCTGCTTCTAGTAACCACAGTTCTGCTTTCTCCTTCTGAAAGTTCAACTTAATATTATTGATTGATTGCTTGATTTTTTAGCTCTCACTTATGAGTGAGAACACGTGGTATTTCTCTTTCTGAGCTTGGCTTATTTCATTTAACATAATTTTCTCTAAGCTCATCCATGTTGCTGTGAATGGAAGAATTTCATTCCTTTTTATGGTTAAGTAGAATTCCATTTCGTATATATACAATATTTTCTTTATCCAGTCATCCATCCATGGACACTTAGGTTGGTTCCATACCTTAGCTGTTGTGAATAGAGTTGCAATAAACATGGGAATGCAGATATTTTTTCAACATGATGATTTCTATTCCTTTGGGTATACCTGGTAGTGAGATTGCTGGATTGTTTGAGAAAGCCCCATACTGTTTTCCATGATGGCTGTACCAATTTACAATCCCACCAACATTGTAGGAGGGTTCCCCTTTCTCTGCATCTTTGCTAGCATTTGTTATTTTCTCTCTTTGATGATAGCCACTCTAACTTTTTGATTTGATGATGTCTCAGTGTGATTTTGATTGGGAATTCTCTGATGATTAGTGATCTTGAGCATTTTTTCACATATCTGTTGGCCATTTGTATGTATGTCTTCTTTTGAGAAATGTCTATTCAACTCTTTTACTCATTTTAAAATTGGATTATTTGTTTTCTTATTATTGAGTTGTTTGAGTTCTTGTATATTCTGGATATTAATCTCATTGGATGCATAGTTTGCAAACATTTTCTGACATTCCACAGGTTGTCTTTTTGCTCTGTTGTTTCCTTTGATATGCAGCTGCTTTTTCGTTTGATATAGTCCCACGTGCTTATTTTTTCTTTTGTTGCCTGTGCTTTTGAGGTCTTATTCATAAAGTCTTTGCCCAGTCCTACTGATTGCACTATATAAACAGACTCTAACTCTTTCAGATTACTGGAATTCTGTTGTTAAGTTTCAGCCCTAGATTTTCTTGAGAAAGTTCCCCTGCACTGCAGTAACAATAGCCATGCATGTTACAATAGTTGATTTACATCAAAGCTGACTTCATGGGAGTGACTGAGGGAATATTACTGGACAAAAGAGATCAGGCTAAAGCTGTTGATTTATGGGCTTCTATATTACTGCCCAAACCACTCTTCTTCATTTAGATCAAGTCTTACTTAGGGGAAGGGAAGTACCACTTTTTGAGAACCTTGAAGAAGTGGGAGACTGATTGAGGGCTGCCTGTGTCACAGTGTTTGACCAGGAAACTGAAACGACTTTAAAACAAAATAAAAATCAATCAAATCCCAGTTTGAGCAAATTCACTGATGTGTTTCCATATATTTAAACAGAGATGCCAGCTTCTCACTCAGCCAATGGAGCTTACAGATCCTGCACCACTCTATCTAATTGTACAGATGCTGTAGTTTGTCTTCCTTTGGGAAGAAAACAAAAACTTTGATTTGAAACTAGAATTATTGACTTATAGACTTCTGATGCTTGATTTTTAAATTAGAAGAAAAATAAGCTCACTGAAAATTTTCTTCAAAATGACACTAACAATTTTGTGTATTTTGTATAAATTGATTGTTACATAAAAGCATACATACATAATCTATATGTGATTATATGTCTATTAGGAATCAAATTAAATTTTGGCTATTGACACACAGTACTGTGAATATTGAAGAATCTATTTCAAGATAAAGCACAAGCACATAAGTGAATAGTATTGTGAAATTTTAACTTTTGATTTTTTTATTGTGTCTTTCAGATGTCGAAATTCCGTAAACTCAGCTTCAATGAGGAAGGTGAACCTGAAGAACCCATGGTGGACAACTGGCGGCCGTCTCAGCCACTGCACAACAGACAAATCAGAGCTTTCTTCAAATAAGATGGTCCCACAGCTGGTGTCCAAATCATGAATCTGCAGGGGTTTTCCTTTAGCTAAGCACAAATCTACCTTGGTGATTTGGACCCTGGCTGCTTTGTGTCTGGTTTTCTAGACCCTTCATCTCTCACCTAATGTTCTTACTAATAAAATGTGAAGAGCTAGACCAACTGTCATGCTTGACAGAACTGCTGTGATGGGTAGTTTGTTTGTGGTGGTAGCCTTTCTGTAATAGAGAATATGATGTAAGGAATGGGAATAAAGTAACTTGACTTCATTCATTGCTTGTAGGGTGATGGCCACTCACAACTGTTCACTAAAATCCTATTTTTAAAACATAGGAAAGTAGAATGGGTGAGTGCAAATCTGTCATGAGATACATTGAGCTAGTTAAGGCAAATCAGGTAAAATAGTCATGATTCTATGTAATGTAAATCAGATAAGATAAATATTCATTATTCCAAGATGTTATATTAAAGAAAAACTTTTAAAATTCTTATATATTTGTAGCAAAGTTATATTAAATATATATTATGTTGTAATCTAGTGACTTTTGAATTATGAGATGTAAACAAAGTAGTAACTAAAAATTGTTATTAGTTGTGATACAGAGTATATTTCCATTCAAGTGATATATCATAACTTAAGAAATATTGTATTTTAGATATATTCTCTAATAAAATTTAGAATTTTATTCTGTATTATTTTATTGTATGCTGGGCAGTGGGTAACAATGGAGGAGGAAATATGTACTTTTACAATTCATGTTAATTCATTATTAATAGTAAGCCGTCATAATAGTCTTACTCATAATTGAAGGAATCTCCATAAAAGGAAGAACCCTGAGGTCACTTACTATTTGGCAAGCATTGCTTTAAGTGCTTTCTGAGCACTCACTCATGATCCTCATGACAACCTTATGAGGATTAATCCTGCAGGGGAAGAGACTGTTTCTGTTAAAAGTAGCAGGGCAGGGTATACACACTGAATCAATATGAGCTCCTTGGAAATAGAATAAATATAAGCCCATTTTATTCAGAAGGGATATTCAGGTGATACCCAGAAGTAGAAGAATAATTTGAATCTTAGAAATGTAAATTATACTTAATACAGATAGGAAGGAGAAGAGTGAATAAATTAAATAAAAATCTCCCGCTGTTATGCCTGTTCTGAATTTAGCTCTGTGCCTTGACCTTGAAACGTCTGGCTAATAAGTTATTCTGGAAGGCCAAGTTTAACACATAGCTCAAGTTCTGCACTTCAGGGAGTGAAAACCCTTTGTTACCTTATACAGAAAATTTTCTAAACTGATTTACACTTTCACCTACTTTTTAAAAGAATTATATTGAGTTTTATATGGGAGTTTGATGATTTGTTTTGAATACCAGTTCTTCCCAATCTCTCTGGTCCCGGGCATAAAGAGAGAATGACACTCTGGGCTGCAGCTCTTTGATTTATTGCAGCTCATCTCATCTTCCCTAGGATGACCCTCATCTCCACTCCTCTGCTAAGTGGTAGCAAGGTGGTTGGAACTCACACCTGCCAATAAATGGCATCTCAACTTATTCTGGTTTAAGCAGGCTTTTTTTAGATTTCTCATCCCCCACCTCCCCACTCCCACACCAGCCCACGTAGGTTGTGTTTGGATGACTGGGGAGAGGACCTTGGATCTACAGGGTGTCCTCTCAATCCTTGTTGGCCTCTGTGGTGGAGTGGCTGGTCCCGGGCTGGCCCAGGGCCCATGTGTGTCTGCTGAAGTGGGGCCTGTTTCACCTGGTCTTTGGAGGGCTCTGTCGCTCAAGACTTATCCCTGCCATTATCTGTAGTTGCAAAGTCCTATACTCTCCTATTATGACCTGGGCAAGGGTCCAGGTGAATGTTGTTTCCAGAAGCAAACAGGGTGAAAGGGACGCCCCTGTCATACAGGAGGAATCAACACAGGGACAGCCTACCTCTTTTGACTGAGAAGCATGCGGGAAGCGTGGGCACCGGTGCCTGACATCTTTCCTTACTTCCTCTTCCCTTCTGCTCTTTACACCGGATCAGAAGAGGTCGTTGGTCTCTTCTTCCCGTATGACAGCAGCTCTCCTTTATCCAGTTTCCTTCTGAAAGCAACTTTCACCTGAACCCTTCCCCAGGGCCATAATAGCAGACAAAGTGCACAGAAGGAAAATTGTTTTCATACCTGGGGAAGGTCCATCAGAAAATATTTCAAAATTAGTATCCACATTACACCTAGCAATGTGCTTCCCCAGAAGACTTGGTAGATTCCATTAGCCCACTCGGTAAAATCTAGAAGAAATCTATCTTGTGTTTCTCCCCCTTCTCTCTCCATCTCCTCTCTGTCCCTAAACCCTATCTTCATTATAAGTGATATATAATGCTTCAGAATGTTTTAAAAAGGTAGCATTGTTACTTTTTACCTAATATTTTTAACAATTTATTTTACAGAATGAAAAAATAAGGCTCTGATACTGAAAGGTTCATGTTCCACAAATAAAAATTTACACTATCATTCATATGTATGAAACCCTAGGAGCAGAGGTGGTCCTTCCATGGGACTTATGGGGAGAATCCCACCATGTTGGCTTGAGGCTGCATCCAGCCCACATGATGGGTTTACATTCTGTAGAGTAGCACGGTGTCCACACTTCAAGGACTTGCCTTACCTGTAGAGGCCTGGAAAGAGGTTTAGGAACAGAAAGGCCCTCAGCCAACAGGCGCCTACAGTTGCATGTGGAGAGAGAAAGTCCAGCAGGCCTGCGTGCCCTGCACATTCAAAGCTGGGGCCCCAGACGTTTGAAGATTTCCTCCTCACACCTTTGGTTTTTGGAAGGAGGGTTGTCTCTGATGTTTTTAAAGGAGGTAGGTTCCTGGTCCCTCTTTTAGAGGAGTGATTTTGGCTTGTTTGGCAGAGGCCAATGCACCCTTTCAGAAAGGGTCTGCTTAATGCTCAGTCACTAGTCTGTCATCTGTCCTCTCCCTTCACCTGAATTTCTATTCTCTAAAAAGTTTCAAGTTTGCCTGCTTTGTGGTCTGAAGTCTATTCCCAGAAAGTGGCGGGAAAAATATGATGCATTTCAGCTCTCAGGCTTGTGCATGGGACATACAATCTCAAGACAACTTTTTTGGTGTGTGTGTAGACATGTGTGCACAGGCACACACACACAATGACTGTCAATGTGTGTGTTCGTGTTATATAATATGCTTTATATATGGCTGTCTTGGTGAGCCGTCTGGTTCCTTCAGGAGTCAATATTAATGTAGGATTTCGTGTTACACCTCTCCTCATGTCACCTCTTAGCCACACACCCTCAAAAATAGAAAGTTCAACTATTGCTGGGGCTGGTTAGCTCAGTTGGTTAGAGTGCAGTGTTGATAACATCAAGGTCAACGGTTCGCATCTCCGTACTGGCCAGCTGCTGAAAAAGAAAAGAAAGAAAGAAAAATCAACTACTGTTGAACAATGTAGGCTGGAGCTGTCATAGCAGAGAGTGAAGTTTTACATCACACAGTGTGCAGCATTTCATGGCCCAAATCCCCATTCACCAGCCCATCCCCTTCCTCCTCAAGGACTCTGAATCTCCCCTGGCTGCATCCCTGTCCCTGGAACCTCCCTCTGGCCTCATTTTCTTCTCTATTTCTAACACAAAGCAATTCAGTTCCACCTTCTCCACCTCTTCCCTCCCAATACACACATATACACACTCATACGCACACTCAGAGACACATGTATGCATGAACACAGGCTCACACCTGCGCATGCACACACACACGCCACTTGATACTGCACTACATTTAAGTTTGCTAGAGGCTAGCAAAGAAAATGTCTTCCAGTTTCAAGATCTACTCTCCATAAAGGTGGCGGTAAAGTTATATATTTTTATTTTTATTGTCACTAATAACTTTTAATTTTACCACATATATATTATCTCACATTCTCAATACAATAAAGTAAAAACTATTCCCATTTTACAAATGAGGATTTGGGGGCTCAAAGAGGATGGTAAATATGCCCAAGATCCCACAGCAAGTGGCGAAGGGGACACACACCACTTTCTCTCCGCTGCACCGCATGAAGGATGGTACTTGACGGGCCAGGGCCAGTTCACTGCTGTACCAAACACCCCCATTCCTGCCCTTTCTCTCAACTTCTGGTTTTGGGGTACAAACTACAAGGAGTAGGGCCCACCAGACTGGGCACAGCCAGCCTCACAAGGGGAATTCGAAAATGTGAAGTGGGCTGGGCTTGGGCCAGGGCCAGTTCACTGCTGTACCAAACACCCCCATTCCTGCCCTTTCTCTCAACTTCTGGTTTTGGGGTACAAACTACAAGGAGTAGGGCACACCAGACTGGGCACAGCCAGCCTCACAAGGGGAATTCGAAAATGTGAAGTGGGCTGGGCTTTGCCCAGCACAGTGTCTGGCTCAGAGCAAAGGTTCAACTAGACCTTCAGTAGAAACTGTGGAATGATTAGATAAATATATTTTAAAGTCAAATGTGATGGAAAGGGTTCTGGAGATGAATGTTGGTGATGGTTGTACAACAGTGCAAATTTACTTAATACCACTGAACTATAAACCTAAAAATGGTTTAAATGATAGACGTTATGTATTTTATAACAAATTTTTAAAAAGTCAAATGTAAATTGCTTCTATTGTTTCATTATTTACTTCTTCCCTATGCCTTCTGCCCCTATGCCTAGTTGAAAACAGGCATATTTTGCACAAAACAGATATTTATAAACCTAACTTAAAAGATGGATACGACCTTAAATAAAACGTGGCACTGACAGGAGCTGGATTTAAGGGCAGCAAGTGCTGCGGCTGATTACGGTTGGTTCTGGAATCAGATTGCCTAGGTTTAATGCCTGGCTTTCTGTCTCCTAGCTGTATGAACTGGGGCCAGTTGTTTAATCTCTTTAAACCTCCATTTCCTCATCTGTAAAATGAGGATTATAAACTAGCTAATGCATTAGATTCATGTGAACTAATCCATGTAAAATACATAGTATCATGCTTAAAAGCACTCAAAAATATCAACTACGATTAGTACAGCTCCAAAAGTGACTAACAATGAAAAGCCTTTAGTCTCAGTCCAACTGAAACCAGGCTGGAGCTTGCAAACAACTATAATTGACTTTGTACAAGGTATTTCAAAAAGTTCATGAAAAGCAGAATTAAAAGATAATACTAATTTTTCTATGAACTTTCTGAGGTACCCTCATACATCATCTTTCCTCTCTTTCTCCTAGCATTCTTTAATGATGCCCCCAAGAATTCATTCTATGAAATATAAGTATAGGAATGAATAAATACTAAATGGATGAAGAACTAGCATTTTATCATTTGCTTCAAGTCTAGAAAACCCTCATGCAATAAAAAACCAAAATCTAATTGCTTCCCTATTGCACTGCCTTCTGCAAAATACATTGAAGGGTATATTTTTAAAATGTGTTATTGGTCAAATAAGCCACACTTGAGTTCCTCCTAGTGAACGTGCAGCACTATTCTGCTGCTCCTGGGCGAGATGGTGTTGAATACAAATTCCACCCTTCCAAGATTCCTCCCCACCCCCCTTTTCTATAATTTTTGCTTTAATTTCTATTTTTTTGAAAGGGAGATGATTAATCTATTTTGGATTGGCATTTTTGCTTGTTTTACTTACTTACCCCTCTGGTGAAATTAAATGAG